AATGGCGACCAGGAGCAGGGAGCCGGCGCTCCGACCACCATCCACCTACTGAGGGAGCGCGCTCTGGCTGGCCGCGTCTATTGGTCGCCCTCCGCCATCGGCCAGCCCCTGGCTGCTCTCATTGGCAAGCGACTGCCACCTCCCCGGCCCCCAGCCCCGTGCGAACGCCTGCTAGTGGAGAAGAGGAGTAGTTATTGGCCAATCGGGCGAGGCCCGCTTTTTAGACGCTTAGCTTCCTTCAAAGATGAAAGCCAAGCGGAAGCTCTGCCTCTTGCACGGAGGGCAAGGGAAACCCGGTGCGATTGGCTGGGAATTGCACCCACCCACCCCAAATGTCATCGCTTTCTTCTCACCAGGGAAAGGAGCAGACCTGACAGGCTGCTCGGGCACAACTCCCATAGCTTTAACCGAGACAATCAGGAAATGGTTGCTCTAATGAGGCTGTGCCACAGGGAGGAGAGAGGGCAGCTCAGTGCCTTAAGTCACGTGAGAACACTAGACGGACTGGGACCTATTTCGTGCGAAGGGGGCGGAGCGACAAGCAGCGCGCCTGGGTCCACTGCGGCTGCGCAGAGTTCCATTTCCGTCTCCGCCCCTGAGAGCCTGCCCAACCGTCTGTCATGGCGCCCGGACTGTTAGGTTTGTATGCTCGCCGCCTTTTGGCAGCAGCGGCAACGCGAGGGCGCCTGGCTGCCCCGGTTCGCTGGGAATCCAGCTCTGCTAGGGCTGTCATCGCTCCGTCCGCTGCGGTGGGAAAGCGGGCGCCGGAACGGACAGTGCACTGGCAGGAGGACCCAGAACCCGAGGACGAAAACCTCTATGAGAAGGTGAGAGAGGGGAAACGGGACGCCGGTAGGGTCAATCGGGGGCCGGCGGACGGGGCGCCGTAGAGGACTTTCTTAGGCGGTTGAGGATTGCGCAACTGGTAAACCCTCGAAGACTTGGGTATTTTGCGTGACTTATTCTCCTCAATTCCCCGTGTTATCTTCGGTTCAGAGCCAGAGGCGAGACTGACCTTATTTTGCAGAAAGGTATCAAACCTGATAGGACGCTTTTGCGGTGCTAGTCTTTTAAACATGTTACATGCATTAACTTATCTGATCCTCCAAACAACCCTGTCTCTTAGGTCCTGTTAGTATCCTCACTGTACAGATGAGGAAACAAGCACAGAGATGCCAAGTGACTTGCCCAAGTTCGCATAACTGAATGTGCGGCAGGACACATTTGAACTTAGGTCTCCCAGTTCTGTGCTGTGTGATAGCAGAGGCTCTGAAATCAGAATGCCTGGGTTGGAATACAGGCCCTGGCAGTTACTCACCTAAGTGACCTTGGGAAGTAACTTAACCCCTTAGTGCCTCAGTTTCTTTGTAAAATGGGAAAAGTATTAGGACACCTTTTTAAAAATACTAAACCTGCATTGTATAATTAAATGAGTTGAAATGCTCAGAACAGCATCTGGCACTTAGTAAGTACTCAGCATTTAGAAGGTGTTACTTATTATTGCCATTTTCCAACTCACGGGGATATTGTGAAGTCTGTGTATGTGAAAAGGCCTGTCACATAAGAGGTACTTCATCAATATTAATCTCTGGTTGAGGGACTTGGATATATAGGATGCTCATTCATTCATCCATTCATTCTGTAAATATGTATTGAGGGCCTACTGGATGCCAGGCACAGTTCAGGGCCCTGGGGGTCCAGCAGTGTAGAAATCAGATAAAGCCCTTGCTCTTATAGAGCTTATATGATAGTGGGAAACACAGAGGATAAATATGTAAAATACCTGAAAATGGTAATATAGAACATGTAATTGGTAACATAAGATAATATGATATACAGGATCTGTGGGATGCTACTTTGGTAAACTAATAAATGCTAGAAAGAATGTTAAGCAGGATAAATGGATTGAGAGTGACTTAGGGGTAGGGGGTAATTTTATTAGGTTGAACCATAGGAAATGGCCAATATTCAACCATTTTTGACCAAAGAAAATTGTACTTTCCAATAGTTCAACTTAATAGACAAGGTGACTAGGGAATGCCTCTTCAGAGAAGATGAGAAGCCAAAACTTTGAATGAGGAGGCAGATCCAGCCAAGCCTGCCTGGGGGAAAAGCTTTCCAGGCAGAGGGAGCAGTAAGTGCAAAGGCCCTGTAGTGGGAAGGAGCTTGACAAGTCCTAAGGACAGAAAGAGAGGAATTTAGGGAGTGAGGGGAGACTGGTTCGAGGTGAAATTGGAGACCAGCTTATGCAGGGCCAGCATAAGGCTTTGTGGAGCAGCAGGAAGCCCTCATTGACCTCTTCTCCTTCCACAGAACCCCGACTCTCATGGCTACGACAAGGACCCTGTTGTGGATGTCTGGAACATGCGGGCCGTCTTCTTCTTTGGCTTCTCCATCGTCTTGGTCTTTGGCACCACCTTTGTGGCTTATCTGCCTGACTACAGGTTCATGGGATGTCCAAGAGAATGGGATGGGTGGGGGCAGAAGGAGGGGTGGAAGTCGAAGGGGACTCTGCCAGGAGTCCTGTCCTGTACGTTGAGGAATGGGGAGCTAAGGTGGGGATTAATGTCCAGTGAGGCTTCCTCATGTCTCCCCTCCCCCATGTTGCTGCCTCCAGGATGCATGAGTGGGCCCGCCGGGAAGCTGAAAAGCTTGTAAAATACCGAGAGGCCCATGGTCTTCCCATCATGGAATCCAACCGTTTTGACCCCAGCAAGATCCAGCTGCCAGATGAGGACTGATTGGATCTTCTCTACCCTCTGCCTGCCACTCTGCCCTCTCCATGGAGCACCTTATTAAAGGGACTGAAAAATATGACTGGCTGGTGTTAATTTTGTTGTGAGGGGGTTGTGGGAGTGGGGGGTGTCAGACCTTAAGAGGGCCACTGCAGCCTTTCCTGGGTGTTTGGTTATCTATTGCTGTGTAACAAGCATCCTAAAACTTAGTGGCTTAAATGACAATTTAATATTGTCTTTCATGGTCCTATGCTTGACTGCGCTCAGTGAGGTGGTTCTTCTTGGGGTCAGATGGTGGCTGGGGCTGGATTCA